AAGAAATGTCAAGATATACTGCTGCAGACCTCTGGGTGACTTATTTCCTCTCTTTAAGATGCGTTATATGTGTGATAGTCTGTTGTTTTTTTTCCTGTGTTGCTATTTAAATGCATGGATACAAAATGGCACTCACCTCAACAATCCTTCAATATGTCCTGGGCTAGGGACACACTGGTACGTTTTAAAAATTATAAATGTCATTTCTGTTCAGCACTTGCATTTACAGACTACAGATAGCATTAACTTTTTTTTGCTTCCCAAGATTACAAGTTAAGAGAAAGCATATGAACATATTTGATGAGACCCAAAACAAAAAAAAAACGTGTTTAGACTTGTACTCTTAAAGTACAGAAATTATTTTTGACCGATTGGGTGTAGTCATTTTAATGATTTAATTTCCGTCTGTTGAGTTCACATTTAAACATAGCCTTTAAATAAACATTGCATTTTCTGTTTTATTTCTATGTCCATTTCTAGCATCAATTGGGGAGTGTGTTTGTGTACATGATGTGGTATATTGAGAAAAAAGCCATCTGCAACATATTCAATGTTTATGCCATTAGTGAAGTGTCAGTACATCATATGGGTGCAGCAGACTACAGAAATATGTTGAAAATTTCCTTTTTTAATTTAATACCCAAACACATACTTTTGTTTTTCATTGTATGATTGTTTGTCCATCTCTGTTGCCTGTTTTAATTTTGATGTTCATTAAACTTTAACCAAATTGATATCAACTAATTTACTTCATGCTGCTCATGGAAATCTTCTTTCTTAGGGAACCCGCGGCAATGTATGCAAACCTGTATAGTTAACCATTGGAAATAAAACGCCTTAATCTTCATTTGGCTGTTACAAAACTAACCCTAACTTTCCATTTCTCTAACATGTGACAGAGCTGTGAGCTGTAACCTTAACTGTACTTTTATTTTTTACTTTGTTTTAGACTTTCTTTCTCTTATATTGAATTATTGCAGGCTATGTTGTCTTGCCCCTAACCAGAAACATTTACCAACTGATACCAGCTGCTTTACTCATGTCTGGTCAAAGAAGCATGTTTAAAACTGGGTTAATTTATTGTCTACCGGAGGGAAACTTGCTGTACTGGATACAATGAGAAGCAGTCTATGAATTTCAGAAATAATCCAAATTGAAACTTACTTATTGAAAGCTCAAAATTTCAAAAAAATAATTTCCTGTGTGTTAAGGAAAGGCAGTGATAACATTTGAATTCATGGCTCTTCAAGTACTCTGTAAATAAAGTGAGTTGACTAAGTAAATGTGAGCTTGTTTCTTCATTGATTCACTTCTGTCATAAAATCTGTTGTTTCTCATAGTGTGAATTCTATAATAATGTTGTAAAATATTGTACATGTTCATATTGGTGTCAAAAAGTGCTAATGATAACATAAATAGACTACTTCAGCCATGCCACCAATATGAAATAATTTATTTGAGCAAAAAGAGGATTCAGTTAAATGTGATAAGACAAGATATTTGGAATTCCATATAATAAAACTGACAATATCATAAAATATTTCTGTAATAATTCCTTTAAAGGTGCAATTTTTTCTGGTGGAGGGTACCTACTTGTTACCAAAGAGATGTTATTGTTTTCCCTGGAATCTTCCATGGTATGACATTACATATATATATCCATCTAGCATGTATTCAGTATAGTGGCTTCTGTTGCTCAAAAATACAATAACAAGCAGGTGGCTGACATTCCACTAAAAATGCCGGACAGTGCATCTTTAAGCGATGGTGGTACTCAGTGTAATACATAGTGTTACAACCATTAAAAATCTTTTTAATGAATAGTTATTAGAAATAGTCGAAATATTGTTTTGAAACTTTTGACGTAGGTTAATTATTCTTTTACGGTCACTAGCTGCAGCTTGTTTTTAAGTATTGTTATTTTACAGTTTTATAGTCATTAAGGAACAGCAGAGAGAGAGCCATTGAGCAACAGTGTTCATCTGCACCTTTTTTTTTTTTTTTTTTTTTTTTTTTTTTTTTATTACGTGGATCCATTATATATATTCAAATATTAAATGTCTTCTTGAGCAGTCTATATATGCCTATTGTAGACCTCAGCCTACAATAGGCCTTAGCTTATTGCATAAATTCACATGACAAGAAGCATTATTTACTATTTTAATATCACGTGTGTCCAGCAGGCGGCAGATGTCACCCAGGTCCAGGATTGTTTGAGATGATTTCACAATCTCTTCTGATGCAGGCAGCGTTTATATGGCAACAGTGACTCATCCTGGCTGTTATGTCGCTTTTATTCTCAGAGAAATATTGCAGGAAACAATTCACCTCCACTATCTGTAATAGCTGACCAATCATTAACTAAGGGTAATCTTTGTTACTGAGGGAAAACCTAAGAATTCTTAATGAAAGTTATTATAGGATTAATTCAGCCATTTATTATTAAAGTCCTTACATTTCAATAGGAAAAAAGAAGTTTTAATTTTGTGTAAATCATTTTGTGTAAATAATGGATGAAATATCCTAACCAAAACATTTACAATAGGCAAATACTCCAGGCTAGCCCTGACCATCTCTCTCAGGGTCAGGGGAGGGCATTGAGGGATGGGTCAAAAGCAAAAGCACATAGTGTCCTACTAATAAATTAATTTAAATTCTTCTTCTTCTTTTTGGCAGAGACAAATGTCTTTCTTGTAATTCAGCACCTTAACCCGAAAAGGTTAACCTTTTCAAGGACAGAGCAGAGCTTATTTGCCTGAGGTTGTTTAGTACTGCTCACTTCTTTATGGATAGTTTGTCTCCCCTAAGCCCCATTTAAAATCCAGTTGACAATGGATACTAATGTAAGTTAATGGATAATAGTCTGTGACACATTTCAGGAGCTATTTATAGCATCAGGGGTCATCCACAAGTCTCAAAACAATCATAAATGTGAATCATTGTCTCTATAAATTGAACTGAACTGAAATAGTTACATTTACCTTTCTGCTGTATTTCTTTGATGAACAAATATAAATACAGTAAGTAGTAGTAGTAGTAGTAGTTGTTGTTGTTGTTGTATCTTATTAGTATCAAATGGAAGTGGCTCGTTTCACTTAATGACCAACTGTACTCAAAACTTATAAAATTATATTAGAAGATTATAATAGAAGAATATTGGAAGAAGTCTCCAAATTTTTCACTGCGTATCTTGTATTTTCCACCAACAAAGCCATTTGCTCAGAACTGTATATATATATATGGCTTAAATGTTGCAACAGATGAAGCCAGAGCCCATGCACACCCTAAAGATAGCGGTGTTAGTGACAGTGTGGATGGTCTCTGGTGTGAGTGATTGCTGACTGCAGGTGAGCTGTGCATTTCTCTCTCCAGGTCCTGAACCCAGAGGTGACGACAAACTCCT